TTTTTTTTTGTTGTTGTTGTTGTTGTTGTTACCGGGGATCGAACTCAGATCATTGTACTTTCGAGGCAGGCGCAAGAACCACTGAGCTAAATCCCCAGCCCTGGGCTCCAGTTTTTGATCCTCCTGTCTCAGCCTTGCAGTGTTAGGATTACAGTCATGCGCCACCTGGCTCAGCCAACATTAATTTTTTATTTATATATTTATTTATTTATTACCAGGGATTGCGCTCAGGTCCTTGTGCTTGCGAGGCAGGCGCTGGAACCACTGAGCTAAAGCCCCAGCCCTCCAATATTACTTTTGTATTAGCAGATTATTTCTGTCCTATTTGTGAGACTTAAAATGCTGTGGAAGCAAGTCTGAGAACACCAGCACTAAGCAGGGGGTTTCTGATACCCTCTGTGTACTCTTAGGACATGAGCAAAGGCAGAACTGGTGAGTGGGGTAGGCAGGGGTCACAGGCAGGAAAATCCCGGGGCAGTCTGAGGATCAGGGCCCTCGGTGGAGAGCCTGTCCTTCAACTCAGAAGAAGGAAAGCTTCACAGGTTAGCCAGGCCTGACGGTGCATGCCTATGATCCCAACTACTTGGGAGTCTGAGGTAGGTGGACACTGAGTTTGAGGCTAGCCTGGGATGTTTAGTGAGACAGTTTCACAAAACTTTAGCTCAGTGGTAGAACTCTTGCCTAGCATGTGTAAGGCCCTGGGTTTAATCCCCAGTAAGGTAAAAAAAACAAAACAAAAAACAAAAGCACATAATAGAAAGCTGGTTAACGTAACTTTGAGACTGGTTTCGCTTTCTAGGAAAAACTTAGACTCTTAAAGTATGCCCATACATTCACTCTTCCTCCCCCGGCCTGGCCTTCCCAAACCTTGGGAAGCTGGACACTTGTCCCCTTCTGGAACGCCACATCCTCCAGGAAGTGGAAGCAGGTTTTTCTAACTGTCATGTCGGTTCTACCATGAAACATGGTGGTCTGTGAAGTCTCCCATGTAGTCCATAATTCTACGATGAATCAGAAATGAAGAGTGCCATCTTGTGGGGACATAGGCAGCTTTCACAGCAACAGCCAGTCCCGCAGTAGGCCCGTGGCCTTTGCTCTGGGGACACAACACCTCTGCTGCAGACGTTAGGGCAGTAGGCCAGGGGCTTCTCTTTAGGGTTTTAAAAACCTACGATGAATAACTATTGACATTTATTTTAACAAATGACTAAAACTTCTTAATGATCATAAAATCTGTCACTATGAGGTAGTAAGATTTGCAGTTTTGATAGAATAAGCACATTATCTGTTCCTGTGCATCCTCCCATTCCGTTGGCTGACAAACGTGGTGCCCAGCACACAGGTGAGTATTCTGGACGGTTCCCTGGAGGATGTTTGGTACTCATGGTTCTGTGGAGGTTGATGGGGTTTCTCAGAGGTTGCTAGCTTATCTTAAAGGACATGGTGATCATTTATTCATCATTACAGAGAATTAGGAAGGGCAGTCAGTAGCAGTGCAAGGCAATGAAGCCACAGTGCAGACCACTGTGAGGGTCTGGATGCCCGGAAGCTCTATGGTGTTAGCTAAGGGGGATGTCACACTTGCTATAGTCGCGACCCTCCCTTATAGTTATTTATTTATTATTATTATTATTTGTTTGTTTGTTTGTTTTTTGAGACAGGGTCTCACTATGTAGTTGAAACTGATCTGGAACTCACTATGTAGCCCGGGCTGGTCTCAAACTCAAAGCAATCCTCCTGCCTCAGCCTCCCGAGTGCTGGGATTACAGTTGTGCGCCATCATGCCCGGCTCGCCCCTCCCTTTTAATCCCAGGTCTGCTGCCTTTTAGACAAGCCCATGCCCACTACAGTAAAATGACAAGTTGGAAATCTGTACTCTCTGAAATCCCTTCAAGGCCTAAACTATAATGTGTCAAAGAGAAGTCTTTATTGATCCTTTTATCTTTGTTACTTTCTTGCTGGGAAGAATAGCAACACCCATAAGTTAAGGAGGAAGGTTTATTTTTGGCTCATGGTTTGTAGAGGTTTACAAACCGTAGTCAGCTGGCTACAAGACAGGGTGGCATGGTGGATGAGCTTCACAGAGGGAAAACAGTTCACGGTGGTGGCAGGCAGGGAGCTGCCAACAGGGAGCCTTCCTTTCCTTTTTGGGAAGCCTGTTCGTTGGTGCCACCCACATCCGGGTGAATCTTCACTCATCTACATTTAGAACCATGCTAAACCAATCAGCGCACTAATCCAGTATCACACAGCAGTGATCCAGTCGCCTCTCCAGAACCCCACCTATGAGGGATATTTAGATGTGCACCACATCACTTTCTTTACCCACATTTTCTGGCCAAAGGAAGTAATTTCCACAGAGAGCCTATTTTAGTGAATATTCTAGGTAGCAATGGCTTCAGAAGACTCTACCTAGAGCATTATGTTTTACACGGTTAACAAATGATGGAAACAATTGAACAAAGAATTCCCTTCAACATTTCCCCCTCTAAACTCCTCGGTCTCAGTAGAAGGAAGTCTCAGAAAAGCCACACTGGATTCCACTCAAGGACTGAGGTGGCCGGGCCTTCTTCATGGGAGATACGTGTCCTTCTTGCAGATGAGTGCCCTCAACATTGAAGCATTTTAAGAGGTCCCAGAAACGGTGGGTGACATTACCCAGTCCCCCCACAGCTGATCTGTTAATATCACGTTTTTGGTATCTGGCAGTGGCACTGTCACTTGGGAAAGAAATTCCCTCCGTGACCAGCTCAGGGACATTTGGGGATGGTGCCACTTCATGAGGAAGATTTTGTGTTGAAATCATTGTGGAACATTGTCTTGTGTTTGTGTATCATTTCTGGATTTCTTTAGAGCTTGGAAATTTTAAGAACTCTCATACTTGCCTATTTGCTTGAGTGAAAATGCATTTGGAGGTGTATTTTGGAGAAAAGAGGAGGATCAAGAATTGCACTACTGTGTTTTTGTCAAATGTGCCCTTAAAAAAAATGTGGGAGTAATATTGTGTTGGTGGCATTTGATCACAAGAGGGCGCTCCAACAAAACGCCTCAGCTCAAAAATCTGCCTGGCTCCCCAAACATTTACATGCTGTAGTTTCTGGCTGATTTTATGATAGAAAGCTTAATGTCACCAATATTGTTTCAAACTAAATGAAATGTTTTAGGTGATTGGGTGTCTGGGCAGTGAATCCTGAGCACAAGTTAGACCACTTTGATTAGCTAGACTTATTTTATAATTTCTCTATCAGTTTTACACACACACACACACACACACACACACACACACACACACACACATGAAAAGAAAAGGAAAAAAGAGCAAAGACTTTAAAACCTATTCTTTAACAACAGAACAAAACAACACAAACTCAAAGCACATTTTAAAGATTCCATTTCAAACCAGAGCTTTTAGTGGTTATCTGAAAAAGTTTCTAAGTCTAGAAAGATGCTAAAAGCGATATTCTACGATCTGTGCATAAGCATCAGGGAAAAAGCTATGTTATCTCTTCCAGGACACAGACAATAATTGAAACAGAAAGTGGGAAGAAGGCTGTGTGATGGTCTCTGAAATAAATTAAATCACAGAACCACATTTCCCTCGTAGTCAGAGATCACTTGCAGGCATAATTGCCAACAATGAACACCCTTTACATTGAACAATTTTTACTGATAATAAAATAATTAGGATAATTTATGTGCACTTGTGCAGTTATTAACATGGCTTTGCTTAAAGGAGATTCAGCTGATTATTCATGGATATCAAGAGGGTCTCCCCTCCTACCTTCTCAGGCGACATGTTTATACCCAGGCAGTACTTCTAAATTTTTAATAGAGAGGAAGAGATTCCATTTAATTAGGTGGAGTGACTTGTTTATGTGCAAGTTATACATTTACGAGTTCTAATGAAGAACGGAAAATACTCATTGAGCAGCCTTTGAAGTTGCGCTTGTTTGGGGATAATTGTAAACCCAGCTCAACATAGACAGTATTTTGGCCCTGCAAATGATTTGAGGATAGAGAGTTAAATCTAGGTAAAATAACTGCACAAATCCTATCTCGATCAATGTTCAAAGGATTTTTTTTTCCTCTTCCCAAGTCAAATCTCTTCAGTTTAAGATTTGATTGGAGTATCAAAACTGGGTTGTAGGAAAAAAATGTTAAAGATGTAGTAAGTTTTTTTTTTCTTGAAAATAAAACCTAGCATTTATATAAAAACCTGCCTTTGTTCCCCCTGTGGATTCTAGTTTCATATATTCTAGATAACCTTTTAAAATTGTGAATAGGGTAACATATACATGTTACTGTCACAAAAACATTTTTCCATGTTCATAAATCCTTTCCAAAAATGAGAGATTAATTTTTTCTTAAACTCTGACCTAAGGTAAAAATTTCAAATATTTGTGTGCCTCAGATGTACCACAAAAAGGCCACCTAAATTAATGAGGTTTCTTGGATTGATGTACAGAAATGAATTACACAGCTTAAGAAGTTGAAGAGATTTCTTGTGATGTTTAAAGCAAAATTAATGATCATATGGAATGAGAAATCGAGCTTTGTATTATGACGGTAGGATTAGTTTTTAGTTCCTGAAAGCTGGTCTATTTATGGGTATCTAAGGTGGAATTAAACTCTGAAAAGGTTAATATTTTTTTTTTAAAAAACTGTTCTGTTGAAAGTCTATTTCCTATCACCTTTATAAGTTTCTCTCTGAATTGTAGTTGCAATCTGCGTTTGGAGCAAACGCAGGAAGCTTGAATAATAATGTAATCCCTGGTGGAGCCGCTCTTCCCATAGCGCATAGGATAAATGAAATGCTACCTACAGATTCCTGACAATATATTCATCCTGGTATCTCACGGCTGATGAATGATAACAAGGCCACTCCTAAGGACTTCCTTTACCTCCGTGGTGTACATCATAATTTCAGGAAGAAAGGCAAAACCCCAGCCTACAAAAGAAATAAAGCCGTCCCTAATTGAAAAGTAGTACCTTAAAAATATTTCTTGAAAGGAAGTATTTGTTTTGCTGCAGGCAGAATGAGGGCCAGAGAATAAAAGACTAAGGAGACAGGAGAAGAAGCCTCTTTACCCTTTGCTTAGCTCGCTGGCCACCTTTAAAGCTCTTGAACATTTTAGCAGTTCCGTATCTGTTTTCTTTTTTTATTGCGTGCTTGTCTAATTTATTTTCATAAGGAAATTGCTCCTCTTGTCTGGAGCCAGCATTATGTAGCTGAAATCTTGGATGATGTGGTTTTAAGATCAAACAAGCGCTAATAAGGTGAGATTTGCTGTCTTACCGATCTTATGGCTTGAGTGCCACAGACAAGCTTTGAGATAGTGAGGAAGTGTTAGGATAGCAGCTGTACAGAGAAATGGGTCTAGAATGTGGCTCCACCTTGGAATCAGAGGGTAAGAGTTTGCAGATAGCTCCAATCGAGGGGTTACAGGTTTGCAGAACACAGGGGGCGGGAGTTGCCCAGGACAATAAACATGAAAAGTGGAAGATGTTAGCAGATTTATTTTTGCTTATTTTAGGCTCTGCTAGGTTGGCTGATGTCCTCAATTAGAGTTGATCACCACACCTCATTCTGGCCTAAGTCAAGGAACAAAGGCTTTCCAACTTTGTGGGTGATTCAGTCAGGGTAGACAGGCCAGGCATCATCTGTGGAAGAGAAAAGGGAAAAAGTGTGCGTGCGTGTGTGTGTGCGTGCGTGTGTGTGTTAAAGTTCATTTAAGAATCACATTGTACCAAGCTGTTTAAAAGAAGCTAAAGCCAATTAAAGTGGGAAAAAGAGTTTTGCAAATAAATTGCAATGTCTGCCAAGGAATGGAAAAAAGCAGCAGAAAAAGACTTTTAGGTGTTGGGTGGGAATGAGAAAAGTGAATTGTAACTAAAAATACATCATTCTGGCCCAGCCTTTCAAAAATAAAGAATTGTACCAAACAGCCCCTCAAGGCCTTATTCGATAATTGAACTGAACCAAGCATTATAATTTGTCTTGTATTGCAGTTCATACTGGATGTTCAACTTTCTTACAGACTAGGATGCCAGCGTTTCTGTAGCGTTGGTGAAGCAGAAAGTATGTCTACAGATTCTGCATTATTTTAAACAAGCTGTCGGGTCAGTTCAGGCATTAGGATGATGTTCTGTTTCTGCCCACCTTTTAGGGCTGCAGAAAAGCAAGAAGGAAATTGGAACAGGAGGGAGTAGCCGGGACAAGTGAAGTACCACCAAGGACACTGAACCTCCCTGTTCTGAGCGCCGACTCCTGGAGGCTCTTTGGCGAGGTATTTACAGATGCAATATTTCTGTCATTCTCCTCCCTTACTGCACCCTTCATTCCTTTAATGGGTGAATTAGCCTTAAGTTGTTGTTAAAGCGATTCCTTTTGGAAGAGAAAATGATGTACATCATTATAACCAGGCAACGGCCACTGGAGCCTATGTCCACCTTCAAGGATGCTTTTCCTGGGGGATGTGACTTTGATCAGCAGCCTCAATATGAGTTCCTCGGATCACACTTTGTTTCCTTACTGTGCGTCTGAGTCTGACCTAGAGGGGTGAAGGGAAGAGAGTTTAGGCTGCACCCAGTTATGTCAGGACTGAGGGAGCATCCTTCGCTGTTGGAGAGAGGAAGGGTTTTACAAGTCAGCTACTTCATGCCTCCCATTTCACAGAGGGGTAAACTGAGGCCCTGAGCGGCTTAGTGAATTGCATAGGACTAAGCTGGAAGTTAGCAGTGGAACAATTTCACTCCCTCAGCTGCTACTGAAGAGGAAGGTGCTGGGAAGTGGAGATTGAGAGGGGCCTGAGAGAAGATAGTTAAGGTCCTTATGCCTCGAAGAGGAGTTCTTGGAGCACAGCTTTGACATTCCATGAAATTTGTTAGCAGTGCATCTCAGTCCACCCTGAACTGAACCTCCTGAGCCACGATCTGCACATTAGCAAGATCTTTGGTGGTGTCTGTGCATGGTAGAATGGAGACACATCAAGCCCCAAACACAAACTAGAATTATGGAAGAGCTCAGAACTACTCCATTTCTGCAAATGTGATAACTACTTCTAAAAAGATGCTCCTGAAAACATTTTTAGCAAAAGCAAGTACATTAAAATTTAACAATGCTAAATGCAGAGAGTGAAAAGAGTGGTCGCATGCAACGAAGGTGAGGGGAAATGGTGACTTTTAATGGCTCAGCCTCTCTGGAGGGCAATTTGGTAATAGGTATGAAGTTTTAAAGATGTGCAGTCTTTGATCTGACGGTTCAGCTTTAGAAAGTGATTCTGGAGAATTAATTGGATTAGGTTGAAAAGATGTGTGAATAAGAATGTTGTTATGGTCTCCAAAAAAAAAAAAAAAACAAACACCAAAGTGGTCTGAAGATCCAAAAGTAGGGGGCAATTGTTAAAGAAATTATAGTACGTTTGGTGTGTACTGTGCAGTCATTTAAACTTATAAATTAGAGGAACATTTACTATTTTTAAAATATGTTTATAGGGGCCAGGAATGTAGCTCAGTTGCCTGCCTGGAAAGAGCAAGGTCCTGAGTTCAGTCCATGGTACTGGAAAAAAAAAATGTGTGTGTGTGTGGGTGTGGGCGTGTATTTGTATGTGCTGATAATTGAAAAGCACAGGCTACCATACAGTGTATAAAATAATATCATAATTTGTTTAAAAATAGATGTGTATTTAAAAATCTGGAAGTCAGTTTGACCAAGTGTTAACAGAGTTCTTTCAGAAGATAAGATGATAGGTGATACTTTTTTGCTTCTCTTTGTTTTATGATTCTTTTATAATTGATGTATTAATTAGCTAATAAATGAGATAATGTGGTTATTATTGTAGAAGAATATTTTTTCTTTAAATTCTGAATATTTTACTTCCCAGGCCAAATTCCTAAAAGGAAAAAACATGTTAACATTTTCTATTAAATTTTATCATCATACCAAGTACATTGCATTGTAGTTATCTGTCAGCTGTTTTTCCCCTCTAAGATGGAGTCTTGGGTCTGTATATCCAAGGCTTTGGATAGAGCTTTGGCGTACATCGTGCGCTTAGTAAGTACGGATGACACCTCTACACTTGTTTTTCTTCGTAAGTAGTCTGCAGGATTGCAGTTCCAAGTCTGTGGGAATGGGTTGCTATTGCATATAAGGAATATGCTCACCAGGTAGGTAACTGGAGGGCAAAGTTATACTTGGACATTTGATTTAGCTGTGTTCTCGATTCTGGTGATAAATGACTCTGAGAGGTGTGGGCCCGGACAGAAGGAGCCAGGAGGTCAGGTGGCAGAGGTCTCCACAAGGTCAGAGGAAATGTACTTCCCATGACTTCCGCATCTGCCCTTGGGGGGCTCAGTTCTGCCCCAGCCCCAGGTGGCCTAGGGATCCCTAGGACAGGGCTGTCCCGCCCATGCAGAGGTCCGTAGGCAGTGGAAACTGGCTTTGTTTGTTGGTATGATTTTGAATCTCGCCTCACTTGGGGTTGGATTTTGAGAGGTTTGAACTATAGCTCACTATTGCTAACCAGTGAGTAATCAGTTTCAGCCTTGTGCTGGGAAGCACTGGTGTGAGTCTTCCTCTCACAGCTTTCTTAGAAGCCGGCTGTCCATTTTGCAGAATGGGAGGCCAAATCTGAAAAAGCCTCAGCTACTTGCCCCCAGTTTAGGCCCAGAGCTGTGGGGTCTGGGACCCATTTTCAGACTGCTGGCCCCAGAGTTCGGTCCTCCCACCATGCTCTACAGGAGTTGAGGATGTTCCGAGGGCTTCCTTCAGCTCTAGTGCCCGGGGGTGTGGCTGTGCCAGGAAAAATATGCCTGGCCACTCTGAGTGCCCCCTCCCATTCTTCTTGTTAAACAGGTTCTATTTAAAATTGAGCCTCCACATTCGTTGATCGTTACGTTCGTTCTTGTTCTTGGCTCTTTGTGAAATCAGAAAATCAACTTTATAGCCTGTAATCTTGGAGGGCTGAGGCAGGAGGACTGCAAATTCTAGGGTAGCTAGGGCAATTTAGAGATTTAATGTGACTGTCTCAAAATTTAAAAAGGCAGAGTAGTAGCCTTGTAGCTCAGCACAAAGGTCCTGGATTCAATCCCCAGAGCCAAGGCAGGTGGAGTAGATTGCATATAGATATTGAGGCAGTTTTGATTTTGGCAGTTACTCAAAAAGTTCGAGAAAATTAATGGAAGATTTATCAAATATGTTTGATAATAGGATTGTTTCTTGGGATATCTCAGTTTCTGCATTTGGAAATGTTAATAGGATTTAAAAAAAGGTGTTGTAATATGCGAAATTGATGGTATGACTTGAGTGTGTACCCAGATTTCATGTATTGGACACTTAATTCCCAAATTCGAATGTTAATGGTATTTGGAGGTGGGGCTTCCAAGGGTCCAGAACTGTGAACCCATGAGCCAAGCAAATGGCTGCTTTGTACTTACCCAGCATCAGGTATTATGTTAGAGCAACAGAAAATGAACTAAGAAAAGAGGTACACTGCTTCTGCTATTGAGAAACATAATAACAAAGTATGCATATTTGTTTATAAATCTTTGAGGCTGCTTCACATTGGGGACTTGCATGGTAATACGAAAGGAACTTGAGAAACACTGGAGGAAGGATCATGGGGATTTGATCCAAACTGTATATCCAAGAGGCTCCAAAAGTCCTAACATGACGTAGCAACATTCTAAACCCTTCTTAGGTACCCAGAGTACCCAAGAATAGGTTTCAGATAGATTACATCTTACAAACAGGTTACGTTTGAACTGTAACCATTGGTAATTTAGCTTATTTGTGTGGGTGACTGATGGCCCTTTGCAGGAGAGGCACATGTGTTTCTTGCTGCTGTATTTCTGATACTTAGCACGTAATAACATTTAACAGCACATATCAAGAACACCACAAGCAATACCAACAATGAATAAGAATGATAACTAGTACACGTGCAGTCCCTACTGTGGCAACGCATTATTTTCAGTGTTCTATGCTTAGTAACTCATTTAATGTTGTCAACAAATGTTTCTGGAATTGAATAAACGAAAAATAAATTTTGAACTTCTGCATCTGTTGCCTAGTGCTGGGGAGGTTTGGTTTGGGAGACGGTTTATCATATTGCAAATTGGAAGATATCGATTGGACTTGAAGTTATTTGACAAAATGTGACTTTTCCTTTTGGTACCTGGCCAACACTTAAGTTTTCATTTTCTTATCTTTTACACTTTGTCCCCCGCCCTCCGCCGCCAACAGACTTTAAGAAAAAAGGAAAAAGTCCAGACACTGTCTAACTACATGAAGAAGTAGAGAGGCAATACCATTCTAAGACTGGGCTTTAATTTTACCTGCAACTCTTTGATGAGCAGCTCTCCACTCCAGTTGTGGGAGGCTGTCTTTCAAGAAAGTTTTGAGCTGCCATCTACATTGCGGCTGCAGTAACCTCCACTTAATTTATTGTCGTTTAGTGCAAAAATTGATGAGAACATAACCTTTGTAAGGTTTTTTTTATGTTTTATTGGCCATAAAAGATAAAATATGGAGTAAAAGGAAGTAAAATAGTATTTTGTTAGGTCGAGGGATGGATTTATGCTTTAACTAACTGATAGAATAATCAAAAGGTCGTAAAGATCAGAGTAGCTGCCTCCTATCTCCTCTCTTTTTATGTATACATTCAACAAGCTTCTCTTTGTGACTCTCAGGCCCATGGGAGCTCACCCAAACACCAGGCCTCTTTTGTCCAAGGGTATTAACTCAGCTGTTTACATCAAGAATATCACAAGGCTTCTGTTGCAGACATTAAGCAATTGGGATAAGTCTAAATGAATCAGATACTTGACATGTGCAAGGGGGATGTTTGTTCACAAGGGACTTCAGGGTTTCATTGTGCCTTGAATGAACAGGCAAAAATAAAGTGTGTGACTTAAATTGAATTTTGCAGGAAACACACAAAGAGACCCTGATCTTTGGGAATTGCCACTGATTGTGGGGAGGGGAGGATGCTGGGAAGGCCCCCCCCAACTCCCTCAACACACCCTCCCTGGCAACAAGGATGAAAAAAAAAGGAAAAAAGTAAGAAAGGCATTTACCAAATTTCAAAGTGGTTAAGATTGATAGTCTAAGTCAGTGGTTCTCAAACTTTAGCACATGCCGCAGGATGGCTTGTTAAGCCAAAGTGGTGGGCACCGCCCCTAGAGTTCCTGATGAGGGAGACCGGTTGGTTGAGACTTTGCATTTCTAAGGGGGCTCCAGGTGGCCAGAGCCTGCCTTTGAGAACCTGGACCTTGGGTCTTCAAGTCT